TTTATAAATATATATTCATATACAAAAGAGAAAGAGAGAGAGAGAGAGAACGAGAAAGAGAGAGAGAGAAAAAACATGAACAAAATTGAATTGCAGAATCTGTGGTTGGTTTTTCTTTGTTTTCTGTACAACATTTAATAAAAAATTATCGATTAGCTTAAGATTTAATTGGCATACTCCAGGGGTTTAACTTATGCGACTTATTCGGTGGGGGGTGGGGGTGGTGTTTTTACTAACGCCCATTGGCGTTCTCATTCAACACACACATTTAGATAATTATGTAGATATTAGTGCCAATAAGCAACAACATCAACATCAACATCCACAGCAGCAACAACAACGACAACAACAACATCAACTTAAAGAGACATTTTTGGGATTCCAAGCAGAGATCGCCCCTCCCTCACCCGCCCCCAGCCACTCTGGCTCGATGATTGCGTCCAGTTCAATAGAACTGACAATTTTCTAAATTTGAGTTCCGTCATATTCGATGGAAAAATTATAAATAACTAAATGTACGGTACGGTTTTTATTTGCGGTATTTTTGGCACGTCAACACGATGCCACACACATAGACACACAGACATATACATATATACACTGAGGGAGAACACTCACAAACCGTTGTCCCGACGCCCCATTGCCTCCGCTTACACCACCCACCGCCACCCACCTAGCACTGTGGTTTGTTTCTTCACATCATTGTCGTCATTTCTGTTTAAGTGGGTCTTTATTCATTTGCTTTTGTCTCTGTGTGCGTGTGAGTGTGTGCACACACACACACACACACACACGTACACATATGCATACAGACGAAATTATTGTTAGTCGGAAAAGTAGATGAATGCCTAACGTTTTTGTTGTTGTTGTTCAGATTCTGATTGCCGTTGCTGTTGCTGTTGTTGTTGTTGTTGTTGTTGTTGTTGTTGTTGCCACTTGATTAATTAAAGTGTGAGATGACAATAAGATATTGAGAGAGCACACACAAAGATAGAGAGCGAGCGAGGGACATCGACAGGCAGCAAGACAAAGAGAATCAGATAAGGCCAAAAGTTAGAGAGGGAGAGGGAGGAGAGTGAGATATATATCAAACGTAACAAAGTGGAGGGAGAGAGTTGCTATTTGGGATAATTTGGAGTCAGGTTTTTCGAAGAATGAAAAGAACGAATCCTCTTTGCTTGTTTTGTCATGGATCGCGGGGGCCACAAGCTTTAATCATTTCGTGTAATGAGTTTTTCATGTACATATGATAGGATAGAATGGGGCATGTGGGCGTGTCAAGGTCACAATCGACTTACTTGTTTGATGCTGGTACATTTGTCAGACTTAATAAATTGTTGCGCACTGAACGTAAGCTGGCTAAAATTTGGGCAAACGGCGTTACAATGAGATCCTCGCCATGGCTGCAATAGAAAGAGAGAGAAAGTTTGATAAGTATATGTATGAGCAGTTGATAATCGGCGGAGGCATATAGAGATATATCAATACCAAACACAAGATATATAGGTTAAAGTAATTGAATTTAATTAAAAGGAGCTGCACAGTTAATGATGATAATCTGTCTAATGCATGTTACATAGATGGAGAATGAGATAGGAAATGAGAAGTTTGTAGTTGATACCTTGGGTAACGAGCAAAGGAAATTAGAAATAGCAAAAGAAGCGAATTCCAGAAGTAGATAAATAATATAAATATGCAATAGAAACATATAATATGATTGGCGAGTGCAAGAAGCAAAGAGTAGCGAGTGACAGAAGCAGGGGATGGTGGAAGTAACGAAAAGTTTACACTAGTTAAATCAGCATAAATTATGGATGATAAAAGTAACGAGTAACAGAAATGATGCATGGCAAAAGTAACGAGTAAAATAAGTAACGAGTGTTTATATGTTAATAAGCGAGTAGCAGACGGTAGTAAAAGTAACGAGTAAAATTAGTAACGAGTGTTAATTATTTAAAACAAAAGCGAAGCGAGTCAAAGAAAAGCGAGTAGCAGCAGTGACGAATGAATGATGTAAATTGATGTACAACGATGAACCCAAGAATGAATGAATTTACATAAATATAGGTAAGCAACGGGTAACTTAAATATAAAATAAGAGCAGCAGCAAATACTATAACTAGGTTATGTGTGGAGTAGCAATAATACCAACAGATCTAGCGATATACACGAATACCGATTCATTTAAAAGCAAGTAGCAACTATATCCTTATAAAGTAGCGAGTATGCAGTATAAAAGGTGCCTAAAGAAAGGTCAAAAGTGATGTTTCCTTCGTTAACAGTCTTCAAACAGTTCTTGAGTTTCTGTCATTGCTTTGGTCACACTCGGCTCAAAGTTCATTTGACGTTTACCGTTGACTGTGATTCCTCGCCCGAGTTATTAATCTCAATAGACACGTTATCGCAGGCATCGAGTAATCCTCTCTCGTTAACTACAACCGTAAAAAAAATTTGAAATCGAATAGCGCATAAATTAGGAGCTACACTGGTCTGCTTCCATTCCTATTCTCCTCTAATTAATATATACGCACATAGATATATTTTATTTTTAATTTCGCGTTTTTTTTTTTTTTTTAATTTTTTACAATAATTTTTTTTTTAATATACGAAAATGATGAGCTGATTTAAAATGAAATGCCTATGTGCTTAAACCGATTGGCTGGCAAATCAACTGGAATACTCGCCGGTGCCTTAACGCCYGAAGCATTCGATGATATGAAACTCAGGTGCCCAAAATGAGGGTCGTCAGCCAGGCCGGCCGCAAAAGGTCAGCGCGCCATGGCCACGAATAGATTTGGCCCAAAAAAATAAAAATGAAAACAGAAAGAGATACAAAGGGAAAGGAAAGTTGGTGAATCATGGCACAAAGGACGACGCTCAAGAACTTGATGCAGGTTGGCTCCACAATTTTATAGATATGCGGAACGAAAGCGACGCACACAGTTTGTGGGAACGTTTCTGGTGGCACACGAGCCACTTGGCTTGAAAAATTTGTGCCGAAAATAAATATTAAATGGGCAAAAAAAAAAAAAAAGGAAA